GATAAGGACTGGAATTAACTCTTCCTTTGAAAACTAAATGTAAATCCTGATGCAAGTGATCTAGCTTTCTTTGCTTTTGCCTGGACTGTGTGCCACCAGTCCTATAAGTAAAATACTCTGTGGAGTGACTGACCTGCTGTTCATGCCATCATGCCTTGTCTTGTAATTACTTTGGTTCAGAGCATAATAAAAAGCATGCAGTGCAATCACAAACTGAAAATTTTGTTAGAAGCATGGATTTACCTCATAGATTATTGTTTTTCTGGAAAAGAAGTGCAAATACCACTAGAAATTCATATACCACTCTAATTTGGCCTCACTTGTCATGCTTTCCCTTGCCACTGAGCCTGCCCTATATTTTTTTAACCTGCACGGTGTTGATCAGTTGCTGCATTTTTAGGTTCACTCTTCTGTTTTCTGACAGTCAAGAGTTTTTCCCTACCTGACCTCCTGTAAGAAGTTTTTCTCCACAGCCCTCCCACAGCCTCCTGCCCCGGAAAGCCTTTGACTTGGCTCTTGCCATGGGTACAGAGAAGAGACGACGTTCTCTCTGCTCTGACCTACATTTTCCCGGTGCAGCACTGCATCGCTGGCAGTGCAGCATCCCTGCCTCCCTCCTTCCCTTGCGCTCCCCTTGCAAAGCAGAGCAGGAGGAGGGAGGCAGGACTGGATGGGCTGGAGGTGTCATCTGTAGTAATACAACAACTGCTGTGGCTATTAGGTGTGATCTGCAATCCGAAATTACTGTGGTCAGCAAGGGTGAGACTGCATGCCACCTGAATCACATGCTGTTTTGGAAGACGATCTGAAATTTAAAAGGAAGATAATGCTCTTAAAATTTCATAGTTATAGTTATCATAGAGAAATTAAATAGTTGTCCAATATTTATTTTACCATATAGAATAAGGATTGAGAAATTAGTTTTAAAAATTGAAAGATATGTAAACAACCACTGATGCTTTTGCAAGTCAGCCTGTTTTTGCTAATGACACAAATATAAGAAGTAGTAACTGCTATATTAGCATCTTCCCTCTCCCTTTCATCTCCTCCTAGAAGTTTTCACACATTGCAATGAGTATTCATTCAAGAGGTAAGATTTTCTTGCACTGTGGGATTGTGTATGTATTTTAGATTGAAGTATGACTGGGGATTGTGTTAACACTAGGAAAATTAGTAGGAATGGGGAGGCAGTCCAAAGCAATGGCTTCTAGATGCTTCCCTCCCCTCCAGTGCATGATTTAACAAGAATTTTGAGACAGCTAATGCATGTCTTAACATGATAATATATTCTGAAAATATTTTGTAAATATGGACTGACACATTTTATATTACTGCATCGCAAACAAAAGCAAATTTTAGATCACTACTCCAGTAAGCTTAACCTGGAAGACAATCTGTTTCATCTTTTCTCTGTCACTGCCATCAGATAATTTTCAATTTATAGGACATAAAGATAATTTATAACATTTAAGTGAAGATCTTAATGGACACTGAATTTTTCCTCTGAGTGACCACTGAGGCTTGGAAATATCTTCACCTGTAATTTTTTTCAGTCTAGAGCAGATTGTGAACTTCACCTGTGAAAAATGTGTCAATGACTGGGGGCGGGATCAGTTGCATTACTCTCAAACCTGTAGTTGCACATTTTTTGTGCTCAAATCTATTTGTGTGATCACCCACATCACCGATTTAACTGGAGATGTGAAAGAAACAGTTCAGTTAGTGAATTACATTTTTTTGTGGGACTTCATTTTGGTCATCTACTATCAATGTGTAAATCTTTAGTTGAAAGTTAAATAGTGGAAAAATAATCAAATTCAAATTTCTAGTCTTGTTACCAGGCTTCACTTTTCTAATTTTTTTCTTTGCCTTAATGATGGTACTGATGGTGTTGCATTTTTTTTCCTATAGTAAATCTTGAGTCATTACAACTTCTTGTATTTGTTTTCAATCTTGAAGCAGTCACACAGAGAAGTAAAAACTTTTAAAGCGAATGTACCAACCTCTACACCTCAAAGAGTAAACTAGTTCTTTTTGACTGCATTGCAGACATATTAGACTTTTAGATACAAGCTTATATCCTGTTGCTAATGAAAATGCATTTTTGTCTTGCTTTATGGGGAAAGGAAGTGAAAGAGTTGTGAAAGACTTTAATATAAATAATTATTGCGCTGTTTTTAACATGAACTGGTTTTATATTCTATTAGAGTGAGCAGATAGCTTAAACACAAGCTAGAAAAGAGTAAAAACATTCAGAGAATGGAATGTTGATCTTTGATTCTATAATTGCATATTTCATCATACAGCTTGTCCTTCCAGCTTCTGTAAGCTTTGTAATGAACTGTGCAAGAAAACAGTACTTGGATACAAAGGATTTAAGGAGCCTTTGGCTGTCTTGATAACTCAAAAATATTTCTAGAGCAGTTTCAACTTATACCCAAACATTATTACTAATTTTCAAAAATTGTTGGACTGTTAAAAGGGCATTAAAATGGCTTTTTATTTAACATCTCGTACTCCTCACTAGTATTTTCACTAGCGAGAAGTTCGATGTACTGAACTTGTAGGCATTCTGCTGTAATTCTGCCAAGCCCGGACAGATTGGCATCATGCTTGAGCTCCAAAGTGGAGTACCCAAGAGGTTGTTTGGCTGCCAAACTTTATGATACAAGTGCCAAACTATTTAAGGTTTAGTTATTAAACTCTTGGACTGTACCCAGAAGCCAGTAACAGCATTTTGAACTAGCCAGAGTTGGTAAAATCCAAGAGGAGTATATTACAGTCTAGCTTGAGAAGTGCTGAAGGCAGAGAACAGCGTTGAAGTCCTCTCCAAAAGGATGGACTGTGTTCTTGGCCAGCATTACTCTGAGAGAGGCCACTTACAGGCTTGTACATATTCCAGAGCTGAATACCCTTGAGCTGGCTCTCAACACTCAGTTGTCTAAAACTTGAACCTGTTGTCTAAAGCTTGCCTATAGTTAAATTAAGCCAAGTGGCTTTCAGCTGGGGTGTTAACTGTGGCCTGTGTTAGCTGGAAGGAAGCAGACAGGTTGAGCGGGAAGAAAACTACAAATGGTGTTGAAAGAACACTCCTGAAGACTTTTTCTAATGCAGCTTGTCTCTGTGCATTACATGAATACCAGTAGTCATCACCAAACCTAAGTGGTGCACTTTAAATTCTGTTCTGCAGAGAGTTACTCTTTTTACACACATCTACTTTTCCCAGAAATGGACATTTCTGCAATTTGAGATATCTTGGAAATGCACAAATCTATAATTATCATACCTTGGATGTAGCAGATGACAAAATTTAGTGGAGGATTATGGGGGGAAAAGAAAAGGTGACAAGCAAATTCCCATACCCACCTTCAGTAAATCTTCTAGCGTTTTTGAAGAGGGCTTGTCCAGTGTGATACAGCCTGTTCATGTGTATATGATCCTGCATACATGCAGCCTTAGGGCTGCTGAAAGTGCTCAGTAATATGATTTGTCTTTTAATAAAAAGAAAAACAACAACCTGCTGTGATCTCCGTATTGTGTGTGACATGAAAACTAGCCTCTAAGAACTAGGGAACACTGGAAAAGTCAGGACATTCTAAAGCTAGAAATTGATTTGTTGCTGAGCAGCTTTCCCATAAAAAGTGAAGTCTGAAGACCATAAATATAATAAATTTTATTAAATAACAAAAGTACATCAAATATTTGTATTTCATCCAATTAAAAAGTCCCAGTTAAACAGAAAACTAATCACAGTTCCATCGTTTGCTGCTAAGTCAGAGGTGGGTATTGCTTACCCTGGCACTGTGTCAAACAGTAATAATCTGAATCTGATACAACTCTGCTGTAACTTGGAAAATAAGCTTTAAAATTCTGTTTGTTAGAAAACTGGAAATGTGTAAATAGATTTAACCTACTTCTCACAATTTCAGCAGTATGTGTTGTGGCTTTAATTTTTAAAATTGCTTAATTTTGTTCTCACCCATATTGCTATCTGAAACTCTCAATCTTATTACGACTTAGTCCTTTCCACCTGTAAAGTAATGTGTGTGGCTTAACTTTCCATAGCAGACAAATTTTCCTTTGGCTAATCCTTTTTTTTTTTTTTTTTAATTTTAATTCTTTTTTGGTCAGGCAGGAAAGAGCAAAATCAACAAAGATTTGATTGGTTTTTCTCCCTCTTTCCACAAAATGGAACATTTTCAAGACTGTGGTGAAGGTCTTGGAAGTTCCATTTTGCATTTGTGATCAGCCTTTGAGTTACCTTGGAGTTATCTGAGGAAATCAATAGCAGGTTCAATGAATTTGCATAAAGATGCCGAGATGACTGTTACTTGACACCCCATTTATAGGAGCTCGCCCTGTGACTTCTAGAGAATTAAGTAACTTTTAGTCAGCTCCTTGAGGAGAAGCTCATCGAATCTGCAGTTGAATCTAGAACACTGCTTGTGTTTCTGAAGGTGATGTACAAAGCAGCAGTCTTCTGAAATTGTTTTTAATTTTCCTGTCTTTCCTAACCAAAATAAGCAACCTTCCCAAAACTGGCCCTACTTTAAGGGAGTACTTTCTTAGTGTTTTAAAGTTCGTTGGTAGTGTCTCACTGAATTGTAACTGTGATGTTGCTAGTATTGTACATTAAGGAAGCATATAATCATTTTAATGTGGTATTTGAAGGTAAAACTATCTGCCCTTTGTGCATTTTCTTAGTTTTTCATTTTATAGCAATTCTAGATAAAAAGAAATCATTAGAGTGAAGAGATCTAGAGCTATGAATGCATTTTTTAAAATAAAATTTTAGGGTGGAAAATATGCTCAATTATATTTTATTGGCACATAAATCAGCAATTGTACCACCAAAGTGTGCATGCTTATTATTGCACATTAACACAAAAATTCTTTATATACCATCTTCTTTTTTCCGCAAATTTGCTGGGAAAACCTTTTGGTTATAGTTTCATAATGGTAGTGTTATCAAGAACTATACTTCTTTTAACTTAAAAAAATAATTTTCAGACTCCACTATGTGATGGGGATCAACTAAAGGCTGTCCCATTGAGCTCATCCATTTTCACTGTACATGCGTTCAGCGGTATTTACAAATTGCACATGGAGTACGTTTGCCAGAGGGAGCGTTGTCCTTCTAGTGCAGTTTGCGGTGGCGATACCTGCCTGCCTTTTCTTTCGCTGCATTTGCACAGGCATTGTGCTTATTTTGTTGTAAGTGGTTCCAGTATTTGATCAGTTCGCTAGGTTGGAACTGATGGGAGGTAATTAGGTGGCTATATTTACAGCTGGAGTAAGAAACTCGCCAGTGATTGAAGACAAACTCATTGGGTGGAGGCATAGGGTCAATTCGCAGCTTGGCAAGACAGATCCCCACATACACATCCTCTAAATGTAAACGTCTGATACTTAAGGAGACTTTAAAGATTTTTTCTGCTAAATCTCCAGAAAAAACGTAACCAGTTCCAGAGCAGAATACAGGGTAACGTTCACTTGGATACAAATCGGGTGGCATATACCACTTACTATCCTTGTTCCTATTGGGTGCATAACCTCTCATTAAATAACCTGTGAAATACTTGTGCCTTGGAGGAAGTTCTGGTTTCAGAAGCTTGTGTATTAAATATTCAGTGTTGACAAACATATCACTGTCAGTTTTCATAACATATGGAACGTGTGGACAATAAGATGCAACCCAGTTCATTCCCATCAGAGTTTTAATGGTTAAATTGTAGTAGGTGTCTAAGTATTCTTGTTGAATGATGTCATGGTATTGTCTGCTTTCCTCCAGTATGGTACGCTGGAGGTACCCATTTATCTTGATGCTTAACCCCAGCAAAAAAATACGAACAATTTGGATGCCAGGTGTCAGACTTTCATTACCCCAAGTCTGTCGAATAGCTTGTCTAGCTTCCACCTGGCCTGGCTCTGCAGCTATGAGCAATATTAGAAAAGGGGTCTTCTCCTGGCACTTCTCAGGCTCGTTGATGATGTACTTGAAATGATAAGACGTCGAATGCCCAGTACCTTTCTCGTTGTAAATACTTCCATTGGCGCTGAGGGTATTTTCCAAACCAGTTACTCCTTGTAGTGTCAAATCCGTGTTATTTGAATTGGTGACCGTTTGAGGCCTGAGCGTCTGAGGTACGGCGTCTTTCCACACGTTCCGTAGAGAGCTGTGGTTTGTCTCGCTTTTTGTAGATCTAAATCCTCGTATAGTGTAAGCCATGGGATTTTCTTTGAATCCAGCCCTACCTGGCAGCCAGTCGTGATGATTAAAAAACAGAAACATAGCAAAAAGAAATACAAGAGAGATCAGGCCGATGAGATGGGTGCGAAACAGAGACCTTTTGGTATTCCAGGTCATCTTTGCAAAGCAGCAGTGTCGTCTTCGCCACTGAAGCATGTTGTAAGAATCCAGTGATGGAATATGAGACAATGGCCAAGGAAAATTCTATTCCGGTTGCTTCTGAATCCACTACTATTCTTTGGTATTCATTTTCTTTTGTTCATGTTGAGTAATTGTCTGCAAATGGCTCAGTCTGGAAAGATTTAAAAAAAGAAAATGAGAAATCTTTAATTTTGCACACTGATAATATAAATGGTTACAATGAGAAACTAGATATAAACATAAAGTTGAGTTCAATTTTTAAAACAAACAAACCAGCCCATGTTACTATAAACAAGGTTTGACTTATGCTAAAAGCCAGCCTTGTTTTATGATTAAAGTTGACGTGATTTGTTGGCTTTTAAAAATGCTTTTTTTGATGGTAGGAGTTTTGACAAACATCTTAGGTACCAAAGATAAAAAGGGAGAGAAAAATAAATTGATCATGTTAGCAGAAAAGGTGTGAAGTAGTTGTAAATAGCTTCGTGTCTACTGACTGTGAAATCCTTGTACAGTGTCTGAGGACTGAATGAAAAGGCCATGGTACCAGATGGAAGGTTTATTGGCATTAATTAAAATTGATTTGACATGCAGAGGCTAGTACGGCTCGCAGTTTAAAAACCCTTTTTGTAAAACGGTCATGTATCGGTGGTGGGACAGACGGCGCAAGGTTGATTATGGCAGAGTTGTGTTAGTCACAGTACACTGCTTGGCGTGTTTCCACTGGCCCTGGCCGTGTTCAGAAAGTCAATGAGAAGATGCACCTGTCAAAATTAATTTTCAGGGTCCAGTAACCTCACTGCACAGCCCTCAGATGGTAATGCAAGATAACATTTTCGGTCACCTTTCAAGCACCTTTAACCTTCTGCTCTGCAATGAAAGAAAATATTGAATGGAACACTTGGCTGTTGTGCCAGGCCCATATCCCGTTGGTGTAAAATTAAGCTGTTGATTATTAAGAGGTAGAGATCTTGGGTAAATGTTGATATTAACTGGAAGTAAAATTCCCCAGCACTAAGTTTCTGGCAAACTGTCTGATTAACATAATTTTTAGTTCTATGAATTTATATATAACTACTATACTTCTGGTATCGTACAGAAATGTCAGGTATTGTTACCAGCAGCTGTAACTCTAGGAGAAAGTGCCAAAGTAGTCTGTACTTCATTTTCTCTGGAATTTTTTTCATATTCAGGAGCAGAGTCAATATGGCAGCTTCATGATGCTGCATATTAAAAGCTGATCACATCATCTCGTAAATGAGCCTTTCACTGCATAGTAGCAATTCGTCTGTGATTTTCAATTTGCTCTAATTTATTTCTGGGCTCTAGGGTTTTGTATAGGAGAAAGGATGACGGTTACAAGGATCCACAGAAATGCTATTTCTAATATAAATGTGTAATTTTTTAATTGCGTTACTATCTTCTAGAACCAATATTTGGATTAATTTCTGCATTTAGAAACTAAGTGGCCTGTTATATGGGAAATTAGAGGATTTTACAGTGTAAGGTAGTAACCTAACATGAGATGGCAGTTGAATAATGTATTATTAAGTTGCATGTATGGTACTTAACATTCAATCTGCCTAGTTCCTGGAAGGGAAAATTTGTATTTCAGAAGGGTAGGGAGAGATGTATAACTAAGCTTTATTTTAATTACTGTATGTCAGTTTACATATAAACAAAATAACGTGTGTGCAGAAGATTCCTCATTCGCAGTATTTGGAAGCCAGGGGGAAGTAGCGTTGCACCGGGTCGGGATTGTCTCTCTCGCCAACCTCCACCAGGAGGAGCAAGGAAGTGGGGATTTTAGCTGGGGCTGGTGACAGTGTGAACGGACCTGAAAGGGCCACACTGCTCCGTAATTCTCTTTCTGAAATAGTAAAATATTTGCCTGGTGATCTATTAAGCACTTCCTTGTCGTTGTGCTGTTGGGAATTTTGTTCTCCAGCTCACTGAGAGTATTTCTGATATTTTTTTTTAACTGCTTGGGACTGATGCCACTTACTGGAGACTGAGCTACCTTTCTAAAAATTATTTTCCAGTCTACAGCTGTTAAACGTGTGTGTAAAAAGTATGTAGCTTGCAAATTAACTTGAAATTCCACACTGCTGCTTTTATGCTGCTTTAACTCTGACATTATCCTTATGTAGAAGAAAATAAGCCCCAAGTGTAGAAGACTTGTGCTTGTCTGACCACTTGCACCTGCTTTTGCATGCTTAGAAAATAAAAGCCTGCCTTCAAAACTAATAATTCTTAGTTTCTTTGCAGTGTGCAGTGCATTTGAAATGAACAGTCCGCTATTTGGGAAGAATACCTCTGCGTAAGCAAACATAAATATCACTTCAAAGGATACCCTAGATCTCAGGGAAACTAACTGTTTAATACCAGTTTGGAGGTCAGTAGTGGGAGTATTTAATTATTGTTCCATGGCCTGTGTATGCAGTTTAGGAAGACAGTCAAAACCAGAATTTCACGCATGTAAAGTAACAACTATAATTCGGATTAATTTTGTCACACTGAATTATTCTGCTTCTGGAACTACAGTCATTAGATGCAAATACTTCAGCAAATCTGCAGTGCACTACTAATCTGTGTTTGATTTTAACTGAGGTAGTGTTTTGTTTTGCACCTATTTTCCTACAGCAATAGGTGAAAGTTAGAATCAAGTTATGTAAATATTTGTGTAAACTGAGAACTGTTTTCTGGTGCTGTCTTTCCATGATGCACTGAGAAAGTGTCCCAGAAAAGGCAGTTGTAATGGCTGAAACCTTATTTATTTATTTTTTTAAATTAAAGTAAGTTTTACAGTGAGGGACAGGACTAGAATCATAAGACATTTAAAGAGTTATTTCTCACTTACATATTTCCTTGATTTTTTTCAAGGTGAGAGTTTCGTAGAAAATCTTCAATCTCTTCCCTTTAAAAAGGCATTGTATGAACAGAAGAAGGACCCACATCTATTGCTCAGCTTCATAAAACTATTGACTTGAAAAAAATAACTATCTCATTTTCTTTGTAATTCAGGTGTAAAACGCTTCAAAATATACCGTGGGTGTTTTAACATTTGAAATACAGCAATAGCACCTCTGAAAAAAATACTACAAGTTAGCATGCATTGTTTAAAAATCATGTAAACAACTGTCAATAGATATTAAAACACCATCAAATACTATCATAGAAATATTATTTTCTGTGTCTTTAATTAGAGTTAGAGCATTGCTGCTTTTGCCCAAATATTTAAATTTTCATTTCACAGAAGGCTTGTGAACAGGCACCAACCATTGGCAGTAGATAAGAAAACCCAAGTATAGCAGAAGGTCTCTATACAATCACCTTGTTCTCCGGAAGTGTGTTGTTGCATGTAACTCTGCAGTTTGAAGATATGATTTATAATAGTCCTACTTCATTTTTGGCACTTGACTGTGCAGTCACTGATGCATTATCAAATGCCAAATATATAAACTGGGAATGCCTCTTGAATTTTTATGTGGTCTGTGCTCTGCTGGTGTTTCGGTTCCTTGTACTTTCAGTTCTGTTCTATAATTATAGCTTTGCAGATTGAAGCATTCGGCTTCCTATTCACACGTCCTGGATTTTCATATTTTGATTAGCTGTGTGGGCAAACTCTTTAATTAGAGGGAAGAGTTCAAAAGGCAGCCTGACTTGATATTCTGATAAACAGCAGCAGCAGTTGCATATTGGGCCTCACGTAATGTGCCTGAGTTCACTTACAAACTGCGTTAATCTTTTGCACAAAACAGTGCTCGGGGTGAGGTTTGTTGTGCAGGTTTTTAAATGTCAGACACGAAAGTCCCACCACTAGCAAGGCATGCTTCTGCATTTGTTGCCTGAGGGTACAGTTTTTTGTTGTAAAAGTTCTGGAAAGTGACTCTACCTTCTAAAATGTCTCAAAAGTAATCTGAGGCTGGTTACTGTTGTGTGCTGCATCCTTAGGTATGTGAACTCTTTTTCCAGTTGCAGTTGTTTTATTGCATGTTTAGCATTGCCTTGGGCAAGGAAAGCACATTTGTATCGACAGTTTAATGATTTATTATAGCTTATTGGTAGATTCTGCAGGTAGGCACATCCTTTCTGTGTTGTATTAAATTACTATAGATTTAGGTCTTAAATTTGTATTGCAAATATTCATCTTTTTTGTTTGCCACTGGTGATAAGTATTGAAATTTCCACAGGAAATAGAAATGAATGGCAATTAGATGGAATGTCATTCTACAATCCAAGTTAAACAGCCAGTGTTTTCATATTAAACAAAAATTGTAATGAAGGCATGAGATAAGTGACGTGCTCACCATTTTGAGTGTGTAGTGTTTGAAGGTTTTCTTTTGGGATGTCAGGGGAGCCTGATGTTACTTGTAAAATGTGGTGCCTGATTGCACTGCTGATGGCTTAAATCATGTCCAGTCTTTTGCACACTCTCAGTTTATGCTTGGCTGATATTAGCCTGATGACATTTTGCTTGTGTTTCAGGTGGGAAAAAGCAAGTGTAAAAAGGTCTGAAGATACTTTTAAGATAATGTAATTTGACTGTGTGGTCTGTTTTGATGGTCCAGTGGTCTCAGTGTGTCACATCATGGCCATTTTACCAGTGCTGGAAGATTGCTTCAGATAAAGATTAATTCTGACCTAGTTTGAGAGGATTTCTAATTGGATTTTTTTCTGTATTGGAGGGCTTGGAGTTTTTAATTTCTCAGTTAAAAGCAATCATTACAGTAGCAACATTATCCCTTTAATCCCTCCTTTCTAGCCACACCGAGCCTGTGCAGACTGAAAGCAGTGCCTTTAGTGAGTGTAAGGTAGTGACATTGTGCTGTGGGAGAGGCAAACCTGCTCCAATTCTTTCTCCCTGTTCAAAGAGGTGTTATCTCGGGGCTCTGCAAATTAGGAACGATCGTTATCTGTAATGGCTGAAAAGGTAACAGACAACCGAATGAATATCACACACAAGGATTTGACATACCTTCCTTGGTCAGGCCATTTATGGTGCGAGGATTATACCCACAGAAAATAGTTTTGGCACACCATCACTTCAGCAAAAAAGATGCTATCGAACATGCGCACATCCCCCAACAGCCTGCTTCCTGCGATTGCTTTTCACGGTATCCAATCTGTCCATCTGTCTGCTCGTTGCTGCGTTACCTTCCTCGCTCATAAGTGTTGTCCTTGTCTTGGGGCTTTTTGTTCATCCTTCACACAAAAGGACAGTAGTTCTCCTTTCTGTTCTGAGCGGGGCTGTCTGGCGTTCGCGGCCGATGTATCGGAGCTTTTACATCTGGCGTTTCCCTTGTCGGACAATGCAGTGCTGTGTTTTCTTCTCCCCAGTATCCATATTTCTAATGGTAATGTTAGCAGAGAGTGCTAGCGCTGTAGTGGTTCAGTTGCCATCGGTAATAGGATTTCCCTCTATTCCTTCCTTCATTGTTGCTAGGCAGTAATAGAAATGGGTTTGAGCTGTTTTAACTGAGGATTCCGGTCTATAAAATCCATTCCGTAGTTCTTCAGCTGCTGCACAGGCAGGCAGCAGTTTAAATGTGGGCTTTGACAGATGCTGTCTTCTGACAGAGCAGAATTGAACGTCATTGCTTGGCTGAACCCCACGTGATTGTTTGCATTCATTTTGACTAAATCCAACGGCAGCCAGAAAGCTTTACAGGCTCTTGCTCCTGTTTGATAAATGATACGTACTCAGTTCGAGCACAGCGATAGGTGAATAGTATAAAAACTGTATGATTATTAAATGAATGATTGAGGGGTTTTTCAAATTGTTTTCACTTTTTCTTGACACTGTAACTTATGATTCTCTGGGGGATTTTTAGTGCTAGATGTGCTATTCCCGTATTCCAAAAGCTGTTCTGCTGTGCAAAGGAATTATAAGCATTTAAATACCGAAGCTTGATTTAACCCATTTGCCTCTCTTCAAGTAGAAATCTTTTGTGCCTTTATGTGAAAGGAAATATGTATTTCTTTGCCTGTACTTCTTTTACACATGCGTACTCTATAAAAGCTGCTTTTTGTAATCTTTGGTTAGTCAATTATCTAGACAACACTAATGTATAAGCACATGCTGTTAAGCTGCCTTTCTGCTGTTAATGCGTTTCTGCCTTCATAAAGGTCGAAGTCCGGTATTGCAGAATTGGGGGCACTTTATTTCAATTATTGATGGATCTAAAAAGTCTTTTTTTTTGTTACACACATACTTATAATATAGAGTTTGTCTTTCTGGTCCTAATTGTGTTCCTTTCATTTCTGTCCTTTCAATGACTGGCCCTTCTGTGCTGAAGCATCCTAGTATATTTACTATATTTTATAAATAAAATATCATGATGGATAACTCTGAAAATAGAAAACTACTGACATACTTAAGGAAGTATTTATTAGTCACTGGTTTTGTCCACTCTATTTTGAAAAGTTGATGACTAGTTCTTTAGACTTTTTTTTCCCTAGCCAAAGGATAAAGAAAATACAATTGCTCTATTATGTGGTTATCTCTGATTAGTAGGACTGGGGGTAGGTTCGTCCTTTACTGGAAAATAAAGCTTCCCCAGACAGCCAGTGTGTTTTAGTATTCTAGATGCATATTCTGATAATTTACTGAAACATAATCAAATTTATATCCTCCTAAGTAAATTGCCTACGTACACTGACTTTCTCTATTAATCTAGTCTTGTTTCTAATGTATGTATTTTGTATCCTAATGACAATTTCCACAAATCCTATGATCCCATTTGAGGACATTTGAGAAGCATGAGCATATTCCCTAAATATTAATTATAAACGTAACATGTATATCAGTAGAGACGTATATCTCCTCCACTCCAAAAATTTTGTATTTAAATAGTGGAGAGGGGTCAGCAGGGTGGTGGAGCAGGAGAGGAGAGACCTGAGTCCAGCGCCATTTACTATTCTGGGACATTTATGAATAATTGAGAGTCTGCGCTCGGAAAGGTTGCGTGTGTGCTCAGTCTACTGAATTTTCCACTTAAACACACGAATCTTTCTTATCCTTACCCTATATACTATACAGAACTTTATATCATCTATTGCTGTATGTATACAAACATGTGACAGTTTGGCTAGGGCTGTTGTCAATTTACTGCATTCTGTGCTCCAAGTAGGAAATAAAATGAGATATTCCTGTAGATAATTTACCTGTGTTAATTTACATAGAAGCAATAATGTGTTTTTTTTAAATACCAGCATATAGATCTGTCTCTGATTTTTGAATTTTCAGGTAAGACACATAACATTGTATTTGGGAAACAAGTCTAAATCTCAACAGAATAGTTATTAGAATCCATAGTGTTTCAACTTTATTTATTTACTACTGTTTTGCTACACCTGAAGTATATCTCCAGAGGTCTGAGTTTTATGTGGTATGTTTACATGCTGGGATGGGCAGAGCTGTTCTTACTTTTCTGTAAAAGCTCATTGGTAACTATTAAAGGTACAAAAATCCCAAGGGCCATTTGTTATAAATGGAATCTGTTTCAGAGTAAATTTAGAAGGGAACAGACATCATCTTTGTCTTTTAATTATGTGACCATATCACTTGTGCGTAGCTCGTAAAATTCAGGCAGAGCTGTTGCCTCTTGATAAGTATAAAATTTGTCATCTTGCCATGTGAAAAAATTGAATATTGAATTCTTAAATACAAAGATGAGCAATTGCTTTTGTTCACTCCTTCTTTGCTTTTAAAGGATGAGCAAGTCTGCTAATCTTACAGAAAACTAGGGGAAAGCTTTTACTTTTCTACTACTTTCTGTCTGGGTGTGACTGATGTAACTTCAGAGAGACAAAGTTTCAGGAAGACCTTCTTTTTCTTTTATACTACTTTCTTTTTTACTACTTTTATATGATACTCTGTGTTTCTGGATATTTCAGGAGGGCAGAGCTTGCTTTGTACTGGAAATATGACCTGAAGGTTTTAGTAATCTTGCTGGGCTGGAGGTTGGAGTGAGCTCTGTTTCAACTAAATCTCACTGCGAAGGGTCAGTGGACTGCTTGTTCTTGATCCAGGGAGTAGTATGTTCTGTAATGTTACTATGGTTACGTCTTAAATTAGAAGCCGCAATGTTAGTGTTGGAAATGCTGCCATCTATTAAGACAAAGAAAGAGTTACTCTGATGTGAAGATGTGCAGCCTGTGTGCAAGGAACACTACGGGGTTACTGTGGCCAGTGAAAGCTTGGCTGTGCAGCGAGTTCTGCAAAGCCAGAAGCAGATGCAAGGAGACAGAAAAGATGTCAACTTAGAACAACCTGTGCATGTGGCACCTGTGAACTGAGCAAAATGTACTTACGCGAAACAAAGGTGTGCGGGTTTGGAATATTTTCTTCAAAAAACTTAAAGAAGTTCCTACATGTAATTTTTGGAAGATATCAGCAGAATCTTGTCTAACTGGTTTTAAAATAAATCAGACCCTAAGGTTGAGCCATTAAATAAATTTCTGTCGTGACAATGTTAACAGAAGTCTCTCAAATCAACGTAGAGTGGTGGCAATACTCAGGTGTGTACTGCTTGGTAATTTTCTGCCTGGTGGCCATGAGTTTTATGGAAGTTAAACCAAATACGTACGTCATAGCTGACCTGTCAGCTGAATGGTCCCGTACGGATTGTGCTTTGTGGATACTGCATGAATACTTTGCAAAGTTTATTCCATTTTATTTTAGTAAAATGTAGTATTATTTCAGCTGTAATGTGTCAAAAACGTTTTAAGTGACAGTTCATAATGATTAATGGCAACGTTTTCAAGCTTGATTATTTTTGCTTTTTAACTTTATTTTTTCCATCTGGAAACGGTTAATACAGAATGTCATAAAGGCTGTTTTAGTTTTTTGTGTTAAGAATTACACACATGGCCAGTGGCTCTTCTTCTCTTTGCTTCAAAAAGAACACACCTCCAATACGTCATGTGGAGTGGAGAGGGTTGGAGAGTATTTGTAATTTGCTTGGCTGCTTTGTGATCCCAGCACATTTCTTAACTATCACAAGCGTGTTTGTAAGGGAATGAAAAATAGCAGTCTGGAAATGACCACGAGTGTCAGTATTGCCTGCCTTATTTTCATTAGTAGATCTTCACCATTGCTTAGCTAGTTGTGAAACCCAGCTTATGCTTGCTGTTTTTCTTATAAATGGTCAAGGTTTTGCACTCTATTCTAATCATGCCCAAGCCATAAACTTAGTGATTGCATTAACCGTTGCATGTCTTAAATTTAAAACGTAAATACAACAATATAGATCTATCTGTAATGGTGATATAACTAGAAAAGGCTTCCAGTTATTCAGAAACATGCATGGTTTTGTTTGCTAATCAGTAGTTGATTCAGTAAGGAATATAAGCATGTCCCCTAATTTTGCAAAGCTGTGAGAAAGAGAGAAAAGACCAAGTGATCTTTTCAGGTCAGGAGGGCGCTTCTTACTCTGCCTGCCTTAGGAAACATTTCATGGGGATGCTTCATAATTCTAAAGCTTGTATTTATTTTTTTTTTGAGTAAACTGACATTCTAGGAATCCAACTGGAATTCAATCCATTCTCCTATTGCAGCTTCCTTTGAGGAACACAGGTTTGGAGTGCTTCAAAGTTCACTTGAAAAGCCAAAATACAAAATGTTTTTGGTCTGCTTAATTTTCGTTCCGGTTTTGTGTGTTATGCAAATTTCGTGTATTGGACTACTGTCCAAACATGTTTCTGTCCTCAGTAATGTGGTGTTTGCTTTATCACATCCTCTTTCTTATCTGTATTCTGTTTTTTTGTCTTCCACCAGGCTTTGCATCCAATTATTGCTGATCCAAAGTGCTAAATGCAGACCTATTTTTTTTTCCAGGGGATGGACAACATAATTTCATTTGTATTGTGCAATATTTTTGGTTGTGTGGTTCTCCCTCATGAACTGACAATCCAGTGCCAGCGGTAATATTTTCTGCCTGTCACAAGTGTCCCTTTTGCATTCTGAGAAGAGCAGGGACTTTATGAAGCTTTGATTCAGCACAGCAGGGGAGAGAAGGCTAACCAGCAGAAGTAGCAAACGTTCACAGGCAGTTTTAAAGAACAACTGTGGAAAACACTTGTTTTTCTCCACCTTATAGCTTGTCTCATTTCACCTGCCTGCACTATATAATCGGGTTCCCCTTAACACCCCTCCTCACGCCCCCAGCATGAGAATTTGAAATGAAAACCTAAATTCTTTCA